TTCACGGTTCTCCTACCTTCCCTCCTCTTCACTTTACAGGCTGGCGCATGACCGAAACCGAAACGGAGCCACGAAGCACGCGTGTGTTGCATCACCAAGTTCCTCGATTTTCCTGCAGGCGGCGTTAGTTATTTGGTCTCTTGGTTTCTTGTTCTTTTTTTTTTTTTTTCTAGTTGGGTGGGTGTGGTTTGTTTTGTAATTGCACGGGGCTGGTGCGCTGTCTTGTGTGTGTCTCTTTGTTTTATTCGATGTGATTGGTGCTACTGAATAGAAGGTAAATCCGTTTTTGTTCGCGTTTTTTTGTTGTTTGTTTTGTTCCTGTAATTATAGGAGGTGGTCCCAGGGTGGTACATTGAAAAGCAGTGGGCTAACGCTGCTCTCCTGCGGCTTGGAGAATTCTTCAAAACAAATAAAAAAAACACTTTTTTTTTTTTTGGGGGGGGGGGGGGGGGGGGTTGTTTTTGAAGAACGGGAGATCGTCGGCAGTAGGGCGACGATTTTTATAACGCAAGCTGGTTTCCAGTTCTGCTGGCCACAGAAGACAAATAAATGATAGTCCATCGGGGAAGTAAAGAATGATGCGCACTTTCTCTATAACACATCTTTAGCTTTTCCGCCACTGCCTTCTGCGCATGAATGCTTAGAGTTGATGATACTGTGATCAATCTGACATTGATAGCGCCGTATTTTCTCGCTTTTGTTTTAGTGTAAACGTGACCACTCCACCAGCAGTATGCACTAAGAAGAAAAATAGAGCACTGCCTCAATTTCTCTGGTCGGAAATGAGTCAGGGGCCGAAATTGATCGCGGAGGCTTACTACACAATACAGGGACAGTGCCCTATACCACGCACAAGTGTGTGCCAGCCTTTCCGAAAAGAAAAAAAAAAAAGACAAGGAAAAGTAATTAGTCGTTAGTTGTTTATACAGCAGGACGTTAGTCTGCCAGAAGATGGCGACATTTTTACCCACTGCAGATGAGAAAATTAGCCGGTACGGTACAAGTATCCACTAGCCTGGGGTCTTAAACGTGCATCACGCAGTATAGTGATACACGACTGGACGCCGGCACGATGGACATCCAGATCCCTTTCCGCAACACCGGTACACCCTGAACGTCCATACCCACCCCCAAGTGCAATAAAAATCAGTATATCAATGCGATTGGACCGAGAAGTTTAGAAATGGCCGGACAAGCGCATTACACACAGAAAGGGGACACTTTTTTCTTAAAGTTCACAAGAGGAGTATATATATATATATATAATTTTTCTTATAAAGTAGTAGTGCGGCAGGTGGTCTGCACGGGGCGATATTTATAGGAGCCTAGCCCGGTCCGGTTGTCTCTTGGTTTTTGGCCCCATGAGGTCCGCTTTATTTTCGCCCAGTATGAATACAACACACAACCCAATAATTAATGCAATAAGCATTCTCTTTTTTTTATTTTTACAGCGAAGTTTATATTATTTGCAGGTGGGAACTTTTCGTGTCAACGTTCTCACGAAAAAAAAAAAGTGATGCGTGCATATCAAGCATCCAACATACAGCACAACAATATTTGTTTCAATAAAGCACAAGCACAAAACGAGCCTCTGATCCACACAACTGATGATAAAGCGAGCCTGATGACAATGCGAAGCACGTAGCGCTCACCGCATACGTTTCCCGGTAAAGATTACTGTTGCGCAAGCTGCCGCGGCGACGGCAGCTTGCGACGTGGGGAGTGACGTCACTAGCCTTTCATACGGAGTGTTTCACGTAAGGGTGACAAAAATTCCTAAAATTAGTGTATCCGAGCTAAAAAGAAAATTTTCTCGGACTGCATATGACTCGTGGTGGCAAAGTCAGAAAATGCGCGATACTTACTAATTAGTTCGCTCGCTTGTAATGCCCGTCTAGGAACCTTGACAGCTAGTGACGGAGGTTGTCTCGCCTTCGGCCACGACGAGAGAAGAGGGGCAGGAGGAACTCCCCTCTTCCCGAGAATGCCTTTTGTGTGTCGCAGAAGTCGCTATTGTCCCCCTACAAGATTACAGAAGATTAACCCGTCACTCAGAATTCGTACAAAAGCAGCCGCTTCGGTGGCTGGAACGACTAGGCCATTCTCTCGACGTCAGCCTCGCCGTAGCTTTGCTCGTCTTGAGACGACCTACGTCACGACTGCGTTGGATGGCACGTGGTCTCCGCTGGGCCTTCTCCGAGCGCTTGCCAGAGTGGGCCGTTTATAACGAAAAATACAGCCACCAGGCTCAAAATACAAACGTGCGATTGTCATTTACGGATATTGTGGATCATATTCAATCTATTTTTGAACACGACGGGAATATTTCAAATTTCGTTGAAGTATCCCTTTAAAGACCGAGGACCAGTTCGCGCTTTCCACTTTTCCCCCGCGTCCTCCTCTCCCCCTTCCACCCTGTCCGCCGTTGGCTGTTTCCTCCTCCCCCATAGTTAGGAGGATCTTCTGCCTTGAAGAATCTGGAGTCTGATCGTCGGCCTTTAAACAATTTTCTCTGAAAACTTTGAGACCCTCGCCTAAATACACAATGTTAAAAAAAGTTTATTTATTATTTATTTATTCTTTTTTTTTATCGCAAAAATATATTATGCGTGGCCTGACCTTCATTCTTCGCCGAAAGGTAGCGCTAGGGGTCAGAACCAGACTGGAACCAGATGCCAAAGTTTCAGCACGAGCCAACGTTACTAAAACACTCAGTTGGGAAACTCGCCGTCGAAACCTGGGCCGCTGGCGTCCACCGAGACCGAGCTAAATACGACAACAGCGCCACTCTTTATCGTTTGTCTGTACTGTGGTCACCTTGAGCTTTTTGAAAGCCTGTTTTTGCGTAAAAACAAACGGAAAAGACTTTTTTGTATGAAATTTATTGGAGTTTAGTACAAAATGGAGGGCTCGTGATGTTTTTATAATCTTTAGCTTGCAAAGCTTTGCGGAACAATTAATATTGTTTTTATACAACCATGCCTCAGCGGTGCTTTCAGGTAGCGCGTCCCGACTTAGGTGCATTTTAACTTCGGTAGTGATTCGCGGCGCGTCCGCTGGGGAGCCGGAGGTGGCACCCCCGTAACCTCTTCCGCTGTACCTGTTTCGGCGCCGAAATGGCCAATTAAGACCAAAATAGAAGTAACGCGCAGTTCCTCGAGTGGCCGCTGCGGGAGAAATGGCGGCGTTGTGTTCGCCGTTAGTTCGGTTCTGGAGGACAAATCGGGGCCACATTTTCAGAGCAGTCTCCTAACTGAGTGGTTCTAGTAACGTTGGCACGAGCTTATATTTTATTCAAAAGTGAATAGTGATTTCCTGAAAATTTTAATGGGGAAACGGGGGCCATTTCCGCCCGTTTTCGGTTTCTGGCGCCATAGAGCACCATGTATTCGGGTACTCCGTTGGACACAATTTTGCCATTGGCATTTTCAGGAAATCATTTTGTGTAACTACTGATGAATGATGCCTCCCGCATGGGAGGCGAAACGTCTAATGAAATTTTTTTTTTCTTATGTCAAGTCGGTGTTCTTATTTTAATTAGGAAATCATTTATAACTACTGATGGCATCTGGTTCCAGAGCCGTTTTGATCTGGTTCAGAGCTCTGATCTGGTTCGGACCTCTAGTTTTGATCTGGTTCGGACCTTGGGGCGGAGAATGAGCGTTCGGCGATGCGTAGTGCATTTTGACAGCGAAAGAATCCTTGTAATTTTTTTCCGGGACACCCTGTACTTTGTATTTGTACTAACACCATTTGCACCGAAATAAACTTTGACAAATACGAAATATTATTCAGTGCTTCGGTTAAGGGCGGTGGTTTGCGCCACATATTGGTGATTAAACAAAGCTTTTCAGGACGGAAGTGCTCCTTGATAACTTAAATATTAGCATTTAATCTTTTTAATTTTCAATAAATGTAAGATATTTTGCAGCCCTATTAAAGGGCAGCTCCGCCGTCAATTTGAGCGTTTTTATCAAAACATATTTTCGGAAAGGGTACTAAAAATTTAGCCTATAGCAGCGCTTAAATTATGAAAAAACTGTTTACATAATTTATAATCGTTAAAATACGCCGAAACCGATACCGAAACTAACTTGCCACTCGACTGGTCCGCCATTTTGACGTGACGTCACATATGTTATAAACACTCGCACGTGTGCAGTTTGAGCCTGGCCAGCCTGGCAGCAGGCCACTGTTTTGGGTTCGTGCCGCGGATAAAAATGGACTCATCAGGCTCGTCTGAATCGAGCAACGATGAGGATATGCTGCTAGATGTTGAGGACGATGACGATAACCCGTTCTCATACGATCCGCCGGCATCGCCTCTGAGAAAACCGCCAGCGGCGGCTGCATTCGTGATCCGCCGCCATGTGGACCCAGATGCCACTTCCGAAGCGGAATGGTAAGGCAGCTTTTGTTGCTAGCACGCCAAGAAAAACTGATCGACGTTATGCCTTTTAATTGGAGGCACTTTTTGTTATATCTTGGGGTCTGACAGTAGACGGTTTTAGTAGACCGTGTTTTCAAGCGACGCTTCCACACACAACACCAATTTCCTCCAGTCGCCATTACGCGCTCTTACATAACTGTATAAACCGATAACATAAGCAAAAAGCAGACAGTCGCTAGCACCAACTAGCTACAAAGCAAGCACCCTGACCAACATGTGACGTCACGCCAACGTCAGCGCCATCATGGCAGCCTCCGTGTGCCGCTCTTGCTCAGTGTTGCCAGTAGGGCTGCAGCAAGTGATTTGGGTGTGTACATGTAAATTTCAAAATTCATTTCCTTCTAAAAAAATTAATATTTTTCCGAGATATTTCGTACACATGCTCAAAAAGGGCATCCAAATACATGGTGAAACTTTTATAGAAATCGGTGACCATCAAAATTACGACGGAGTTGCCCTTTAACAAATAGAAATAGTCGCCCATGCCATGCCCACCAACAAAATTGTCTGATTACTTGCGCCACCTAGGATACAATAAAGACGTGTAAAACGTCAAGCCTTTATCATCGTTGCGGAACACGTGGGAAAAACAACATGGCTGATCAGGCAGACGAATATGTCTCGGTCCACAAGAGAAACATCTCGCAGATCAAGAACAAGAAGCGGAGGTTGGAGGAATACCTTAAGCTCAAACGAGAAAAGCAGAAGGTAAGTCCGCGTCTCACTTTCGAGCGATCGGGACGCGTACGCGTGTCACGAACTCTATTCAAAGCGTGCAGTCTGTGACGTTCGCGGCTGCTAACTCACGTGTTTTGGTCTCTTGCGCCCGTTGCAGCTCAAACGACTCGCCCAGCAGAAACGCCGCAAAGAAGCGAAGGCCCTCGGTGACGATGTAAGCGGCGACCTGGGAATGTTGTGCCAGGATTTACTGACCTATTTCCGATCGCATCAATGCAGGCTCCCCCAAAACAAGTTCCACGTACCATTGAGAATACCAGGGAACCAGATGATACCATGGTGGATCCCGAAGATGAAGAGGTACCGCCCTTGAAGCCTGTGTTATGAGCCGGAATTGACAAATTAAAAATAACTTTAATGAAGCGTTTTCTTACAAGGTCCAACTCGACGAGGCCATGGATGAGATGGCAGCTTACTTCCGCAAGGAATACACACCAAAACTCCTCATCACTACCAGTGACAACCCACACAGGGTAAGTAGCCACGACATTCATCCCCACTATGTCAGTTCCGTCAACCGACATGATTGTCGCTCTTGTCGTTTTCGTGCAGCATGTGATTACAATTGAGCCGTTTTCAGAGTAGTTTTTTCGACTACATAATCTCCCACAACATTGGTAGGGGCTATGTGTAGGCTATGAGTCACAACATTGGAAGGGGCTATGAGTCATAGCTCCTTTTTTTAGTTTCGAAATTTGTTAGTGCACAGATTTAAAGTGATGGCCTTACCCTACGCTTGCAGCGTACCATCAAGTTCTGCAGGGAGCTGAAACAGAGCATCCCCGACGCGGAGTTTCGCTGGCGGAACAGGTCGCGCATCAAGAAGACGGTAGAACAGGCCGTCGAACGTGGCTACTCAGACATCGCCATCATCAACGAAGACCGCAGGCACCCCAGTAAGTTTGTCGTGCAGTTTCTCAAAAGATTGCTCGCCGACTCCCGTGCATAAAAAGGACTGGTCGCCTTTCAAAGAGAGCATTTTTTTTTTTTATTATATCGGCTTGTTGTTTTTTCCAACAGATGGACTTTTGCTGACACATCTCCCGGATGGCCCCACCGCCTACTTCAGGCTGAGCAGCGTGAAGTTCTGCAAGGACATTAAGGTAGAGGTTCACGAATAGGCCTTGCCAATCGTGCTTGCATGCATAGCTTGCTTGTGGCATCCTTGCACCCTGATGGCAGTCGGTCGTACTTGTTTTCGCCAGAGAGCGGTGCCAAGTGGTACACTTTCTTCATTGCAGAAAGGCCTCTAGCACGTCTGCAGACAGTTTTTGTATGACCGATGCGAAACATGTTTTTTCACGGCGCTAATGCGCATCAGCACCGTGACCGCAGCTCAAGAGGAAGCTATTGAAGCATCTGGTCACCAATAGCTGCTATTGCACAACCTCCAGTGTTTGCACGTGCAGAGGTGTCGAAGTGCGGTACGGCAAGAGACTTTTCTCACCTTGGTCCCCGCCTTCCAGAAAAGGGCGTCGTACACGGCCCACCGGCCCGAGGTGATCCTGAACAACTTCAACACGCGGCTGGGCCACTCGGTGGCCCGGATGCTGGCCTCCCTGTTCCACTACGACCCCCAGTTCCAGGGCAGGAGGGTGGTCACCTTCCACAACCAGCGGGACTACATCTTCTTCCGGCACCACAGGTGGGCTCCGCGATTTCCGAGAACTAAAAGCCCCTCGAGAAAATCTCTCCTCGCTTTACTCTGAAGTACCGTTGTACGAATGCACTAGACATGTGCCACGGGCAAGTGCTGCGCTGTCGTTCGGGTCCGAGCGTGCACTTAGTTGACACTATCTAGAATAATCAAAGTTCGTTAACAGCCGCTCTCCATCTGTGTGGGATGTCGCCCCTCTAGTATGGCTCCCAGCCAGCAATTGACGCCGGGTGTCTCTCGACGCGCTGAACAAACGAGGCCCGGCCGAATGCCGATACAGCGCCCGTGTCCATTTCATATTCGAGCTGAATCTCACTGTGACAGCATCAAAATTTTAATACACAGGCTCCCATTATTCTAGGTGGCTTCAGTACAAGTCTTTGAGAATTTGCTCAAGTGCAGCCCAATGGCAACTCCGAGTAAAAATAAAAGCAGACGAGCAAAGTGCAGTTTTCAATCGAAGCCAAAAGCGTGGCACCTGGATTGCATCTCCGACCGCCCGCTTAGTGTCCTGTGCCGCTCGTGCATCAAAGTGTGCTTGATGTATTGCACCGTAGGAGCCACTCTGTAATATGGGTTGTCGCAATCCTGGCGGTGGGTTGTGGAAGCGACGACGAAGACAAACGAACGTCGGTGTTGCCGTGGTGTCCAAACTCGCGGCTGCTGCCGGAGTTTCCGTCGAGAGACCGGCTGCAGGTGTCTGCCAGGATTGCGGCAAACCATAATGCAGCGTAGTTCTAACATCAGCGGGTAGATATTGTGGGTGTAAAAATAAAGATGCCGTATACACACCATTTTGGAGGTGCATTCCAGGCACCATACCGGAAGCAGCGCGTCTTGCTCGTCGTTTAAAATTGTCCTGTCTACAACAGTGGGGCATCTAAGGAATGGTCGGCCGACGCCTACCTATCCTCACAAACTCTGCCACACAAAACAAAGCAGTGGCAGCACATGCATCCATAGTTCAAGTGTCATGTTCGAAACCCCCTTTCCACAAATGTGGGTAGCGAAACGTCCTTATGCGGATTATTATTTCAAGCTATACAGCCACACAAGTCCACCCTTCGCTTTGTAATTCATGTACGGTAGTGCCAGATCACAGACGCATCATCCACCTGTAGCTGGCTGTACTATCGGGGAAAAATGAAATGCGAACAGAGGAGCGCGTGGCTCGCGGTACAGGCTGCGCCGCCTGGAAGTGAGCCTAGAAGCGAGGGTGCGTGGCCTACTTCGATGTGTTCACGCCCCTCCCTCTGCGCTCCCCAAGCTTCAGCAGTACGCCTCTTAGTGCGCTGAAAGCTATCACCGCTATCTTTGCTGGCTCGGCGCGCGCGGTGCAAAGAAGCTCGCCGCACTCGCCGAGCAGGCAAAGATAGCGGTGACATCTTTCAGCGCACTGAGAGGCGCACTGCCGAAGCTGGGGGAGCGCCAATCTAGGGGCGTGAACACATCGAAGTAGGCCACGCACCCTTGCCCCTAGGTTCACTTCCAGGCGGCGCAGCCTGTACCGCGAGCCACGCGCTCCTCTGTTCGCATTTCATTTTTCCCCGATAGTATGTGTGTGCGACCCATTTCGTCATTTATTTGCGGGTCGAATGCTGCAGGTACGAGTTCCGCAACGCGGAGCGAGTCAACATTCAAGAGATCGGGCCGAGGTTCACGCTCAGGCTTAAGAGCCTGCAGAAAGGGACCTTCGACTCCAAGTTTGGCGAGTATGAGTGGGTGCTTAAGGTATGTTGTCCGCTTCCGACCTGCCCCGGAACGTTCTCCTTGTAACGTTTACGCTACGGCATTGGCTCCCTTAAACTTGCAAGCAACCGGTGAAACCCAAATGTCTTCACTTTTTGCAGAGGCACGAAATGGAAACAAGCCGGAGAAGGTTCTTCCTGTGAGACGCGTCGTTGCCGGGCAAGAAATCGACAATAAAGATTTTTTTTTTTTTTTTTTCATATTGGAGTTTGGCAATGTTCGCTTTATTTTTAAGCAATGTCGTCCGCAGCAATTCCGTCTTTGCGTCCCAGTTTTCCGTTTTTAAACTTGGTGCTTTGTTCGTAAGTGAGTATTGCGACGGAACCCTCGGTAGAACAAGAGGAATGTTAGGTTGCGGCCAGCCCTTGTCTCCGATAGTGGCAAGCCAGAGCAACCGAAACTGCAGTTGAGGCACAGAGGCGATGAGGCCACGTTTCTCGCAACCTTAGTGCCGCTTCTCGTCGGCCTTTGGGGCGAGGAACTTCCCTCTCTGCTTGAGGAGATGACCAAACAGCTGAGGAAAGACTGAAAGAAAAAAAAATTAGACGTTTACAATTCTCTGTAATGCCGATTTAGAGTGCAGCTCTTGAGGAGGAGGGGACGGCATGTCCCTCCCCCTCCTCCGTACCCTGCCCCCCTCCTTGCATGTTGCCCTCCCATTTAGAAAAATATTTTTGCCAAATTTAGCAAAACTTTCTTTGCTAAATTTAGTGACGAGGGTAGAAAGTTAGGTGAGTTGGTGATTCATAATAATTAAAAAGCGCAACAGGACAACGGACACAGAAGGAGACACAGACACAGCGCTCTTTAGTGAGAAATTTTCTTGCTAAATTTAGCAGAGAGATTTTCCTGCTATATCTAGCGGAAAAATTTCTTCACTAAATTTAGCAAGAAAATATCCCTGCTAAATTTAGCAAAAAAATTCACCTGCTAAATTTAGGGGGAAAATTTGCCATAATGCAACGCGTGCGGTTACCCCGACGCCGCTCAACCCGGAAACGGGCGCCTAAGAGCTGCGTTCTAAAATTTACACAATTAGGATATGCGACTTTCGACAAAATGCAACTGAGGGGTCCAATAAATTTCAATTTGCAACAAAACCTCAAGTTTCTTGCAATCTAGGTTCCAAACTCGCATAGATATATCCCAAGTCGAATGCAATCTGATCCTTTAGGCCTGCTTCGGACAAGCAATTTTCCCAGCAATTTCGGGGTTGCTGGCGAGTCGTTCCCTATAGACCTACACGCTGTTTAGAAACAGAGTTAAACTTGGTTCTGCTTTTGAAGTGAATCACCTTTCTGACTAAATTGCTCGTGGAGATAGGTTAGTAATCTCAACACTATTTAAAGATATAAAAATGGGTTATGCAGAGCACACATTCGTCTGCATCTCGAGCAGGGGTTGCGGTGATGTCGGAACGCCGAACTCCGATTGGAAGGATAGTGGGTAGACTATCGGGCAGCTAGCATTGAAATCTACCCACTATTCCTCCATCCGAGCCAATCAAAGTTCGGCATTCTGACATCAATGCAACCCCTATGCAAGAAGCAGACAAACTTATGCGCCGCATTAACCGCGTGTCTAGGTATACAAGAAAATTACAATTCTAATGCAATGTGATTGCTGCGCCAAACTGCGCAGAGGGGCTAACCCTGCTACATCCTGCTACATTTTGCCGAAATCTGGGTAATTTGCACCAAGCCTGCGACAAAAAACCAGTTTCGGTCGCCTTTCAAAACCGAAACTAAAGTGAGCACCGTAATTGAGCATGTGTGTGTTAGGTGGCGCAAGTGGCCGACCGACACAAAGTACTTTGCATCAATTGTCCATCCGGTCCTGCATGTTTTCCCGCCATCTGACGTTTCGCGCTCTCGTCATCTCGTAAATATTGTCTTGCAAACTTTTTTTTTTTTTTTTTCTTTTTTTAAGAGGGGACACTACCCAATAGGGTTAACTTTTTAACCTATGGCTTAAAGGGACACTGACAGGGTACTTATGCTCGCCGAGGTTTTTATTTGTACGTGACATATGAGAGCTCAACTACCCAGAACAGAATTTGCGGCTCGAAATTCGGTTTCTTTCCGCCCAAAAACCGCCGCTCAAGAACCGGCCGGTTCGAGTCTCGCTCACTCTCCTTCTCGCGGTCACGGGCCGTTTTCTAAGGTATCGATGCGACCACCAAATTTAATCAAAGTCGTGGGTCACTGAAAGCACACACTCAACATTAAAAATAGAAAAAAATATGAAACCCATTTTTTGTGGCTTCTAAAAAGCTGCAAATACGTTGACTGAAAAAAAAGTTCCACAGACAACCGGAAGCATTCTGTGCGTGCGTCGTTTCGCGTATCGTGGGACTCGCAGGGACGGCGATGGCAGCGGACGACGGGCGTGGGACCTCTATTTCAGAACTGTCGTTCGCGGTACCGGCGAATTTTGTCTGCCTTTAAAAGATAAATTTGGGACTGGTCAAAAGAATTAGTATTCATCCCGTACGACACGCCCGACCACCAAGCCGATTTGCACGAAGACGTCGCCGAGCCGTCGCTCCCTTCTTGTGGCTGAAGACATCGCTCGCGCAAACGTCAAGCGCGACGTGTCTACTTCGAGTGGAATATGCACGCGTACGATTTCTTTACTAGGTGAGAATGTCGCCAATGCGTGGTGCATCCCGACTTCGACCCGGGAGTGCTTCTGCTAGAGGAAAATCGGCAGCAAACTTTCCCATTTACAGTTTATCGGCTGAATTATTACTCAGGAAAGAGATACCCCAGTTTCGATATGCCCCAGTAGCGCAGTCGGGAAGACGTCCCCATCACACGCGGTAGGACCGGGTTCGATCCCCCGTCAAACTTTTTTTTTTTTTTTTTTTTTCAAATATTCTCTGATGTTTACATTTCTTTTTTTCTTTTTTTTACAATTATTACTGAAGAAACAAAAAAAAATATAAGAAACAAATGTTGTGGACGACACGTCGCTGAATTAAATGGTATGAGATTTCCTTTTTGACACCATGCGAACTCAATGTAATCACTTTCCACAAAATGCAAGGAGCATATAAATCAGGTAGCGTCCGCTTTCCGAGGTGCTCGTAAATGGTCTACAGGAATTGCAGCCAGCCATTGGTCCCGATCCCGTTGATCTTTCGGAAACTCTGTCGCACAATGCCACTTCTGTTTCGGGCGCGGGACATGTGAGCCAGCTCTTCACGCAACATCTTGGGTGTATTCTTTTCGGAGCCGATCAAAATCCACCACGGGCACTCACTACTCATCTCCAACTCCTCAATGTACAAAACAACTCATCTTGGAGTACAGAACAACGAGCGGAACATACATAACTGCAAAAGAATCCCACGGCGACCAGTTCCCATACGCCGCATGTCGTCTGCTACCGGGAAGGAGAAAAAAAAAAAAAAAAAAAACACGGTCGGGTGTAGCCACGTGACTTCCGCCACACACTCTCTTCTCTCCACTTCTCCGACCTCCGTCGGGTTTTGGTTTCGATTTCGAGCAGTTGCGTCTTTTGGCTTTATTAAAAAAATACGCTTCTCTGTTGCAAAATATTCACTGGGTAGACCTCCGACACCATAATAAAGCGCCTGGCAAAAAATTAAAAAAAAATTTTGGGGGGTGTCAGTGTCCCTTTAAAGGAGCGATGCAACAATTTTTGTACTTTGCGCAAATACCGCTTAAAACGGATCCCTAACGTTAATGACTTATGAAACACGCGTTCGTTTTTCACCCCACGCAATGGAAGTCCCAGAAAAGAATTAAAGACAAACGAGCAGCGTTCACCCCCTCAACTCGCAGCTAGTACAAGCGGCCACGTGATCTGAAGCCGATTATATGCCGCCAGTGTTGATCATAGCCACGCGCTGGGGTTGGCAAAGCGCAGGACACGCGCTGAGTTCCAGACATTGTTATGGCTCGGCTGTTGTCGTCGTTGCAGCGATTGGACACGGGTCACTACCCGAGGTAGCGATTATCACGAGCCCAAGTCGAGTGCCCACGCAATGCTCGGGACCAATCTATGAACCGCATTCAAACATCGTCACTTGGGTGTACTGCGATCCCCACGGTACGTCACCAAATTTTGCGAAGGAGAGATTGAATGAAAATGATCGCTTTTGTCCTTGAAATTACACCGCAACAAAGGAGTTTCTTGGCCAGTGGCGTTGCGTGCGAGTATCCTTGAGTCCCAGGTGTGCCAGTAAGCTCGTGTCAAGTGAAAAACATTTCAATTGAATATCGTTGCACAGCTCCTTTAATATGAGTGAAATTTAGAGTATATACTGGAAGTTGCAAGGCAGAATGCAGTACAAGGTTTCATCAGTGTACATGAGTTGTGAAATAACTTGTAGCCATTTTTATCAGGAACACACCAACTTTGTTTAGGAAAACTATCGTTAGAAAACCAATGTAATACCGAACATTTTTCTACTCTAGATCTGCAGCAGAATGCCTAGAGAGTGCAGCTGCAAAAAGAAAATTTCCAAAAAGGAATTTACTTCATGCTAACATCGCAGTGAAAAATCAAAGAAATTTTTTTGCCTTTTATGTCACGCACAAAATCTGAACATCTTTTATAAAAGACATCCACAAAGAAAAAAAAAAAAAAATTCCATAGTTGCACTGCCCATAAAATTCCACGTAGGAAAAACAATAAGAGAGTCTTTCCTCTTGTCCCATTAACAAACGATAGTTTTCCTAAAATGAAATTCATGCCAAAATGTGGAACGGTGGAAAATGCGTTCAAAGTGTTCTAATCCCTACCTTTTCTTTAGCTTCAACGGACCGAAAATAATTTATAAAAAATTAACTATGCGGTGTAAACTAATGAAACTTTCTGGAAATACTCTCCAGGCGCTGGTGGATGTAAATAGTATGACATTTTTCAAAATCCAACTTTTTTTGCAGAAAATTTTTTTCTTCTGGGTAGTGTCCCCCCTTAAATATTTTCAACGATAGACGCGAGTGTGTGCGGAGGCTCTGACGCAATAGCGTACCGGGTACCAGCCATGCCATCATGTTGTGAAACAAAACCGCGTTTTTGCGCGGCGGAAGTTAAAAATTTGTTAACTGAAGCACTCGCTCTTGAAAGCAACAGCCGTGGGAAAACTATATTTGGTCCCTGCCTTCCAGTCGCCGTGGTCGCGCGACGTCGGGTATTGCCGTTTCCACGTTGCTGTAGATATGGCGCTTTCTCAAATGAAACTAAGTACCACCACATGTTCATCAACATTCCTGTTCTTGTTTAAATCATACCATTACTACAAAAATCCCTCTTCAACTCAAAGACTGCTGTGTCAAGTATTGATTACTTAGGTTTCTCTCGGTGGACATTCTCTCGGTGAAAAATCTGCCGCGATAAGAAAGTTGGTGAAGAGAAGTGAGCTAAAGCAAAGAAGGCATTGGCTGCGCTGAACCCGCACACTGCGCTTGTTTGTCTCGAGTTCAGTCATTGCACAAAGTGCTCCAAGAACTTTTTGACTCTGGCTTGCGATGTCTTGCATCGATGCGCTCAGGTTCTTTTTTCTATTTTTTCTGTGTGGGTTCAGCTCATACCTTGTTTGCCTGCCTGACAAGAATGCGCCGCTGGACTGTTTTTCGTCGTATGTTCGAGAGTTCCATTTTGCATACAATTTCAGGAATCGGTTGGCGACGGAGCAGAGTGACATGGTTTTAATTTCAATCAAACAGCCGTTGTCTCCGCTCGCGCGACGAAGCACGCGCAACTGCAAGACTGCTGAAGTTGCCCTCATGTGTTTGCGAACTTGATTGCACAACACAGGCACCAGCCGAGACGCTTGCAAGCCATTGTCTTACGTTTGCTTACTTTTGACGAAAATCTGGTACGTCGGGAACCAGTAAAACGGTGGCAAGTGGTTTTTCGGAATTGCTTGGCAACGCCTACGGCACTGTACACTTGTGGGATGTCTCAGCAGTAAAAACACAGACAGTGAGTTCCGTCACAACACTTCACATTATAACACTACACAAGTCACAACACAAAGTGCCCTTCATTTGTACAGTACTTAAAACAAATATATTTTTATTTTTCTAAGAATATCTGCTCCAAAAGCCACCTTTCCTGCTCCGAAACACTGTCCTGGCTGCTCGAAAAGCCACTTTTACTGCTCCAAAACGTTGTTTTGGTTGCTCCGAATGCCACATTTGCCCTTCCAAAACACTGTTTTGGCTGCTCCTAAAGGTGCTCCAAAATGGCTTAGGCCAATCACATCACTGCTAATGATAATGGGGAAAATTGCATCGTCCGAGGCGGGCCTTACGGGGCTGGGGCGCACATAGATATACCGAGCAGTATGCAAACGGGGGCTCGCAGAGATCTCTCGAGGTGCGTGCAACATGTGCACTAGAGTCTGTGTTGGCCCTTCCCAAAAATCAGACTCTATTCGATAACTCTCGAAACGTCCTTCAACATGGCGATTGGCTGATGCCACCTAGAAAAAAAGACTTCAGCGTTCCTGCTCCCCCCCCCCCCCCCCCCCCAGCCTTCGCCGTGAGTGGATCCATGCAGTGCCATCTAGCATGCGTCAGCGTCGCGCGTCTGGCAGCGTCACACGACGAGCACGATGCTGGCATGCGGCGACGTCAAGACGCACGCGTCTGCCACTTAGCGGTGACTTGCGTTGAGCTTTAGCATGTTTGCCGCTTGGGGCGAGTCGGGGACCCGCTAACAATGACGTCATGCTCAGGGCTTATCTTCTGGGGGGAGGCGGGTGGATCGGATTGACGTGTACTTACACGGAACGTACGATGCGATGATGAGGATGACTGCCGTGTGGTAGTCGAAGGAGAAGTTTGCAAGGTTTGGCAGTGCTATGCTGAAGAGGCCACGCTGACGGATGTAGGGCAATGCCGCGATCATGGTCACGATTTCACCCTGTCCCGAGAGAGGTGGGTGACATTTGTTCAGCGTCTCGACGGGTGCGGTTCGAGGAAGAAGTTGCACAAGTCTATGGCAAAAAAAGTGTCTAAAAAATGCAAACTACGTGAAAAAAAAAAAAGAAAAAATAGTGGGGGTGTTTGTTTTTTGCGACTGCACACTTAACTTTGCATGATTCCGCCTCAAAACATACCCCTTGGCCTGAACCAGATGAAGGTTAGAGATCAATGTGTTTAAGGTATGTTCGGTTTTGCTTCACTGCCTCCCCTGCCTGACATCCCATTCAACGCTGTTCACAAAACATGCACCGGTGATTCATGCACGTTGTGCACCCATAGCGTCGGTGCATAGGTCCGTACCCACCGAAAATGCCGCATAGTTGTACATCAACTCTGACAGCATTTGATGTATGACCTTCCCACTAAATCTAGTTGGAAAATACTTCACGAAATGCAGTGAGAGATGTCAAAGGTCACATAACACAATGGCGAAACTTCTTACGTTCAGATCGGAAACACATTTTATGTTAGAAAAAACCTGCAAGTCCAAATGTTATGAAAAACCCTTCATATAAAAGTAATTTCAACTTAGGCAAGACGGTATCTAAGGGCTGATACAGGCAAAAGATATCTTTCAAATAACTAAGAGGGGAAAAAAAGAAAGAAAGCAAGTTCAGGACATCCCAGTAATCTGCTGACGAATCTAAGTACTGTAAAGTTCCAAGAGAATGCGCGCCGAAAGGCCAATCCAGTTTTTTTGGCTAAATATCTGTAACCGGTAGTTCTTCCCACCTGTATGTTGCACAGTGAAATGCGAATCTGCTGCGTCTGCAATTTGCGGTATGCGTTCCCGTAACCAAGTTTGTAGCGAATTCCTGCGTTTTTGTCCCTATCTGCCTGCGCGATATTGATTCCCGCGTGTTTATTGACTTGAGCTGTGTCTGCGATCTGCAGCATTCGTTCCCATGAGATGCGGGTTCTCGGCGGATCCTTCGCATTGTGAAATGCGGATCTGCTGCATCCACAACCTGCGGTATCCTTTCCCATGACACAGGAGTTTGTAGCGAATTCCCGCGTGTTTATCGCATCGTGAAACGCGAATTTGCACTGCGGTATTTTTTATTTAAGAATACTATTAGAGGGAAATTTAAGAATAAGGTATCAGTTCCCGTGTCACGTGGTTTGTAGCCGGTGCCAGGGTGTTTATGACTAATTTTTATAAAGCTTTGCTGTGGCATCCCTAAAGATAACCCACCTCATGTTTTTCACCATTTATCTCTTCATTTTCGGTGGGCGTTCTTTCAGAACCTTACAGTAACTTTGTAAGTGAATTAGCGACATGTCTGTTATGCCGGTCACCCTGCCGTACACATTCTCATTTTGGAAGTAAATCAAATAAAGAAGCTCTTACTGTGACACCCGTTGGGTAAAGCACGAGGAAGAAGGAATACCTGCAACAATCAGATCATTAAAATCAATGACAACAGTGTAGCTATGACACAATCACAGTTAAGAGTTCGACAGTAGTTAGCAATCAACTTAGTAATAGTTTCTTGGCGTTTCTTATCAAACAACATGCATAAACCATTTACAAAGCCTTTTTCCTGAGGAGATTTCCTCGTATCAGTGAAGGAAACGTCGGGCTTAACCAAAATCAAATTACAGTAAAATCCCGTAAGGGCACCCTCCACCGAGAGATCGCCCATCCCGTTTTTCTGGCTAAACATCTGTAACATAAAAATTGCGAAACATCGCCCACCCGCCGATTCCCACTGGGCGTCACGCAACGTCCGACGGGAATCACGCATCAACGGCGCGATCGGCGGTACCAATGTGTCCGAGAGGCGAGTTCACAGCGGGTTCCCGTGTTTTTGTCTGCGATCTGCTCGCGATATCGGCTCGCGTGACACTCTAGTTGTTCCCGCGTGTATATTGCATCATGAGATGCAATTCTGTTGTGTCCACGATCTGCGGTATCTGTTTCCGTGACAGGCCAGATTGTAGCGAATTTCCCGCATCTTTATTGCACCATGAAACTTAATCTGCTGCGTCCCAATCTGCGGTATCCGTTTCTGTGAGATGTGAGTTCTCAGCAGGTTTCCGCGAGTCCTTCGCACCGTGAAACACGAATCTGCTGCGTCGGCCAGTTGCGGTATCCTTTCCAGTGACACATGAGTTTGTAGCGAATTCCCGCATGTTTATCGCATCGTGAAACGCGAATTTGCCGTGTCCGCGATTTGCGGTATCGGTTCTTGCGTCACGTGGGTTGTAATGGGTGCCCCTGCGCTTATCATTAATTTTTGATAAAGTTTTGCTTTGGCATCCCCAAAGATAGCCCACCCCATGTTTTTCACCATTTATCTCTTCATTTCGGGTGGGTTTCCTTACGGGATTTTACGGTATGTTCAATTGCTCACTTTTCCTTGTGCCCTTATGTAACTAGTGAGAGAAGAAAAGAGAGCTTACCTGCACCAAGCAAGGGGGTACGGACAACAGTTGTACAGGGTCGCTCCGTAAAAGGTGTATCTCGTGATTTCCGCCAGACACCACGCCACGAGCAGCATCACAACGCCGTACTGGTTCTGAGACTGGAAATGGGAAACCAGTCGTGTTGTACTCTGTTCATGCCAACACAGTGAAGGTATTATCACAACAGGCAAAACCTGTTACAGTAGTGTCTTGGGTGGGAAGTAAAAGAGCCCACACAGACTTTTAAGATCAATATTTACAGCGCCAAGAGATATACTTGAGTGTGCATGCCACTCCACAAGGAAAGGCAATTTGAAGCAAACAACACATTTAAATTTTGAACTCCCGCAGCAGGGCACCTACTAGAATGTGCCACTCTATGGGAGTAAAATGCTGCTAAACTCCTTTTCCAACAAACCAAGATTTTGGTTGTTATTCACAATGCTCAACAGTAAATCGTCATTTTACTTTTTTTTTTTTTTTCACGGTAAACAAGTGTGTTTTCTCTTAAAGGAAAAAAATTCCCTTTGTTTAAAGGGCGTAAAAGCAAAGAGTCATTACAATGCAATATTTCGGTTGTTTGGTTAAATAATAATTTTAATTTTTTTTTTCTGAAAAAAAAAAAAAAAAATGTCTTTCATTCTAAAAAAAAAAAAAAATTGTTTGAAAAGTGCAGCAGCAAGACATTATCAAACTGAATTACTTTTGTTGCTTTTATGTAAAGCTTGTCACCCCCAAAAAATGTACTGCGTGTTCCCTAACTGCAAAAATAGACTGCATCATCAAACACTCGGTTTCCGTCCAATTGAGCCCTGGCGGTCTGAACCGGACGCCAAATTTTCAGAACCGTTATCTTATTCAAAAGTTGTCAGCGATTTTCAGAAATTTTCAATAGTAAACTGGTAGCTGACAATGCTCATGAATACATGGGACCGAATTGCACGAACCATTGCAGAAAAAAACCTATTTTCCCATTAAACGCTCCAGAAAATCGCTCATAATTTTTTAATACAATAACGGTTTGTTCTGAAAATTCGGCATTTGGTCTGAACCACTAGCACCACTTTTGGGCGAAGACTGAGCGTCAGCCGATATACACTTCGCTTTTGCTGTGAAATAGACCCTACATTTGTTTTTTTGGAGGACATGCTGAACCACACAATGCAACTCTTTTCTTTTTTTTTTCTTCTTAGAGAGTAGCACAGGTTCGCCCGTGCCTTGCTCTCGTCAAATGCCGTCCACGCAGCGAGGAAAAACTTGTAATGTGTTACAGCGAGGAAAAGAGCAGAAATAAACTTGCCTCGGGAACCGGCACAAGGATGCCCCAGACGACCATGAGCCGGGAAAGGATTTGGATGAGGGTGAGGAAAGGACTAGTGGCCACCAGGCCCACCACACAATGGACAACCTGGAACAATAGACGCACAATGGAAGAAAGGCGGCGTCAGTCTCGGGTGGCAGATGTACGTGCCCTTCCGGCCTAGAGTAGGGTGCAGACAACTGAGCGCTTGTGATGCCCCACCACAAACCACACGTCCAAATCGGCTGCGGTCAATATTATTTCGTTACGCCGAAATAACTCAAGGATATTTTGGATGCATTACATGAGGGGGCGGAAGCAAAGTGAAAAGTAGCGTGTGCAACAATATTAATGAAGAAAAGAAGCGCCGGTGAAAACACAAACGGTAAAAATCAAACGTTGCCGAACACCATCACTATAAACTAATATTTTGCATCATCCTAAAATTGTAAGATTTTACGATGATGTAAAAGGAGTAAGAGTGTCCATCCATTATTAGACAGCTGTATTGTGGCACAAGCTTGGCACTAATAAAAGGCATGTTCTCCAGGAATCAATACAGACATGGGGTGAGTGATTAAATTACAAATATCGCTAGGACGAGGACAGACGAAGAAGTGGACAGGACAGGCGCTAAATTACAAATAGCGCCTGTCCTGTCCACTTCTTCGTCTGTCCTCGTCCTAGCGCTATTTGTAATTTAATTATGTATAACCAACTAGCCCGCCAGAATATTTTAATGGGGTGAGTGCCTTAGTGGCAATAAAACAGCAAACATCAATTCAAGCGATTTATTTTCTTTTTAAATTTTAGAGTATTCTTTTTCTGAGCGTCTGTCTCCAAAGCTGTCCTTCCAGAATTCACTCTCTTTTCCTATCCCATCGCAGACACAGCCACAGTATTCAGCAAGCCGACCATTCTCAGGCCCACGCGACTCTACAACAAAAATAAAACTAAAAGAAAGATACGCCGCGTGGTATCGTACCTCGAGCAGCGCTAAAGTCTGGAAGAACTCCACCGGGAGGGCGACGTGCGGCCACAGGCCGTGGAAACTTTTGTTTTGCAGCAGGAACGCCAGGGTCCTGACCAGGATGAAGCCCCACCTGGCGGAAAAACCACGACACCAATTTCAAGCGCTGTCCTTACAGTGATGGGATTGCTGCGCCATTTGCACCAAACTGCGCCAAAGCACTTGCCCTGGTACATCCCGCTACATTTTGCCGAAATGTGAGAAATTTGCGCGCACATTGCTTCCAAACTTGTTTTCACTTTATTAGTACTGAAAATATAGTAAGTCAGGCCCCGTTACATGGCCGGATCGTTACAGTAGGCTAGCGTGAATTTCCAAAACTTTCGATATCGCCTAAATAGCATCATTGTCAATTTGGTCTCTGTATCAAGAATTTACAGTACACTCGGAGGTTTCGTAATATTTTTCATGCGCATTGTCTGTTCTTGCTGGATGGCTAGCATTGTTGAGTGTGCTTGCCACCGCATAGTAGGCATTGAATTTTGCATATCTTGCTTCGCCACACTGCATCCGCATGCTAAAGCACTTGCCCCAAGCAAAACCTTACGCACGATTTCTGAAAAAAAAAAACACACAAAAAAACTGTGGCTAGTATATATGATAGCGATATTCGGACGAGATCTTTTTCATATTCAAGATCCATCAAGAATCTTGACTATTGCAAGAAAAATGTTATGAACTGCTCTATATGTTTATATTTTGTCAACTCGTTTAGTTATTACCTTTATAAAGCTTCCATCTGCGAGATGGCACAGTGAATACGTACAGGAAATTAAAACTAAATTAATTGGAGCAGTCAGTCTAAGCCTAGAAATAATGTTTGGAGGGATATTTATTTTTTTATTAAGGCATATTTAGTGTTTACATGCATATTTTTGTTACGAAGTTCTTATATTGCCATTGTTGTTCAAAATAAAATGACAAAAGCTTTGCATTGGATCTAAACTAAGAATTGCAGTTTTCTTACGACCTCCAGAACTTGAAGAAAACATAAATTTTGGGTGCTCGATATTATTAGATTCTAGCATTATTTCAATCGACTATACTATACTTTGGTTTACGTTTAATTTTATACCTAAAATAACCATGCACAGCAGTTTCTACTGCCCTTCATCAATCGGCATCCTGTTACTGTGCCTTGTACTTCTATGTGGAATTAAACTTCTAGCTAGGATATCAAACCTGTCATGATGTTGATGCCAACAAAAAGTTGCACAAAAGCAGGAAGGCAAAAGCAGGAAGGCAGGCAAAAATAGTGCAATGTCATATTTGGTTGAAAAACAGTGTAATGTCATATCTGGATGAAAAATAGTACAATGTCATATTTGGATGAAAAATAGCGCAATTTCATATTCTTATGAAAAATAGCTCGTCTTCATATTTGGATGAAAAATAGTGCACCGTCACATTTGGATGAAAAATGGCGCAATATCATATCTGGATGAAAAATAGCATGTCTCAGATGATTTTTTATCAAACATAAATCTTGACATGCTATCTGCACTACCATTTTTTAGACCACCTGGGACTGGGTGAAAGAAACACGACGACGTCTCAAACACAGCTAACCACTTAACTCAGTTCTCCCTCCTTTTATACATCCTGAACCCACAATCGTCACAATAAAAAAGGCTTACACCAGCTCGCCTGCGCCCTAACTGTTTTTTCATCTATTTGCACTAGTATGAATAAAAATTAAATGTGTGCTTATGCTCCAAAAATACTTTTTGCTGCTCCAAAAAAGGTGCTCCCAAATTGCTCAGACCAATCACATCGCTGTCCTTGCCAGAGGTGGCCACCTGACGACTCCAGCATACCAAGACAGCTTCAAGAGCACACTTCGGCAAGCCTTCCCGAAGGTCGCGTTTGTCTGGCAGGCCTGTAGGGTCAACTAAGCCAAATGCAGCTGAACTCAAGGCACTGCCAAACAATATGTAATAAAGTGTGAAATGCAGGACATATTTGAAGATTTTCGTATCTCTTGCGGGACGGGTGGTCACCCTACTCCAAACGGAAATGTTAAAGCAGTCTGCGACAGAGCACAACAACTTGGCTCGAGCTTCCTCACACCGTAAGTAAAGCTCAAGAAGTCACAGTTTCGAGTTGTGACGATTGCGCCGATTGCACCCGCTCTGCACCAAACACCAAAGTGACGGCGCCCACAAGAAAATCAAGGAATGAAGTGCAGACGCATTGTGTCTGCATGATGAGCCTGCAGTCTGTGCACCATGCGTCTGCAGAGTCAAGTTGTTGCACTCATGTGATCTGGAGTAACTAACCCAAGCCCCGCTCTGGCTACCAGCAATCAAAAAAAGAAAAAGAATTGGGATGTGTGTATGTTTGTACAGCCTAGAACTTGGTCTGCCTCAACGGGCGACGAGTCTCCCAGCTGTAGATGAGAAATTTAGCCAGTGCAGTAGAACCGCTAGTCTGGGGTCTTTAACGTGCATCACGCAGTTGTGATAAACGACCGCACGCCGGTACGATGCTCACCCAGATCGAAACGGGCAGGGGTGGGGATAGAACCCAGGATCCTGGGTTCAGCAGTGCGAGCGCTCCACGTGCTCCGAGCTGGTCTGTGCTAGCCCACTCGGCCATCGATCACCCCCCCCGTCCAGCAATCTACCTTTCTAGGAAGTCGCAGATTCAAGGCTTTTGGGCAGAGAAAACACACCACATGCACATTAAGCATGCCGGCACGACACTCTCTCGCTCGAAAGCCTGTCGTGGTTGCTCATAAATTTGTGGAAGGCAAATTTGTTTGCTGGAACCATGATTTCTAAATGGGTGGATTGGAGCCGACCCCGATGTCGAGGTTCCTAAAATGCGAGTTCCGGCCGAACACTGACACAGCACCTGGTTACAATCTGTGCCTTCGCTCGTTATCACTGCGATGATGTCAAAATTCCAGTGCACGAGCTTTGTGTATTCCAGGTGGTGTTGGGTATGCTTCCTATAGGGGCACGACACTGCGATTCAAACACAAACGCAGCTATACTGCAACCACGGTTTTACACCCCGGCTTGCTGCACTACTAGGAAGCGCAAGGGGCACTAAACTCCCCATAGTTGCAGCTGCACCAGCTTGTAATATGCGATCACTGTAAATGGCTGTAAATGTACTGCAAACGAGGAGTTGGATGCGAACTTGGACGATAAAAGTGGACGCTGAAGACATACGACCACTCGTCGGGGACACTAACCCGAGGCTATCCCATTTCGTAGCGCTCATACGATTAAACGTTATCTGTAACGACCGCGAACGGTAGTGAATATTTTTTTTTTTTATCTTTCTATTCCCGAGAAAGAAATTAAAGATAGTCAGACTTGAATCGCGCGATTTGCCGGAAAGGCCGCCTAAAGGAAGTCATTAAACAAATGCGGTTTTCCTCATACGTACACTTGGCAAACGGTGACAAATTCCTCACGTATTTGTTTTATAGAAAACAAAATTCCGACTCGATTTCTTTTTTGTGTAAAATCGGGAACTAAAACGACAACAACAAATAAACAAGAACTAGAAAACATTAGCAAACGAGACAACAACCACTTCTCGTAAACCGCAAACACAGAAGCGTCAGCACTTTCGTTTATTTCAAAGAGTGGTTTCTTGAGGTCAAGCAAAAGAGTCACTACCGTCGTAAGGAGCAGTTTAAAACAAACGGATATAGTTACAACTGCCAAGATTTAAGCACAAAGTCCGCTGTTTCTTTAGTATAGAATCTGAGAAGATACCTCACCCGACACATTGCAGAGCGTTGTAGCAAGCCAGGTACAACTTGCCTTCGGCGCTCGGTCCACGTTTCGTAGGCGCTGCTTTCGACATTTTGAGGTTCAAGCACTACAGGATGTCAACGCTGAAGGCACCAAAACTGAAGGTAACTACGAACAAAGCAGGTGCGGCACCGGAGCTCTCACTTGTCGCGTCCGCTCAAACTGCGTTTTCGAGATTCCAGTTTTCCTTTCCTCTAAAAAATTTCCCAGACAACTGCCCAGTGTTCGCAACCGGTGCACCTATGCCTCTATACTTAGCTAAACTCTGCCGCGCGCTTGGTAGCAGACGAATTATCCTTTCTTTCTCGTAAAGCGATGAAAAGGAAAAAGAGATAAAATATATTTAAAATTGTGAAGAGTTGGTGTTTCTCACTTTTCTTGAACGCCTTATCCGTCGGTAGGAATTTTTTAAAGAAAACGGTCTGTCGCTTGTACGCACTAAAGTCACTAGGACAGCAGCACCCACTGATCTCCATGACAAAGAGACCAGTCGCAGTACCAGGCACGTAGCCAAGATTTTGTTTCGGGGGGGGGGGGGGGGGGGGGGGCCGCCCATGACAAAATGCTGCTTGAGGGGGAGGGGGAGGGGAGGTCCCAGCAAAATGGAGGTTTTTTTTTCTTTTTTCTTTTTTTTTGGGGGGGGGGGGGGGGGAGGGGGGGGGGGGCGGGGCGGGCTTTATGCCTCCCCCCCCCCCCCTGGCTACGTGCCCACGGCCAACCCCCCCCCCCCCGTCACCCCTAGGTCGACTTTCTTTTAATTAATTTTTGTTTCATTTATTGGAATAAGATTAATGTCAGTCAATCAACTTTCACGGTGTTGGTTTAATAATGCAACATCTCCTAGTTTCCGCGTTACACCTTGCACCCACTATGACGCTTGTCCTTTGCAACTAATGATAAACAGCCACATAGAACTCACTCCGCGCCTTCAACACTAAACACGACAAACCTTCGTTTCTTCGCCAGTATCGGAGTTTTGTTTTCAAATATGTTCAACCAAGCCCTGCTTGTTTGAGCCCTAACTTTTTGTTTACTGAAGTAGCAGTCTGCAACATCCAGCCGCTTTTCAATTGTTAGCTTATATTGATCAGATTAGAGCCACTAGATCAGATATGTCAATCGCCAAGCGTCGCTACCTGTCTAGCAGACGTCCCTGTCAGCTGTGTCTTGAAGGAGAGCACCTGCTAACCGTCTATGCCGAGCAATTCATTTTTTTTTTTATTCACGAAAAATTACCAAGTTAAAAGGGGGGGGGGGGGGGGTGCAATGATATCCGGTAGTCTTGTCTGAATAGTAGATTTTGAGTTCGAAGCGAATTCGAAGCGAATAGTGGTTTTTGCCGAATATTTTCGATTCAAATATTGAATAGTTTTTCCACGTCTTTCACTACCACTAATGTAGCAATTTGTACGAGTTGGTTCATGATCATCTAAAAAAGCGCCAAAAAAAAAAAAAAAAAATAACAAGGACGAGGAAGTAGACAGAGCGCTCGTCTGTCTACTTCTTTGTCCTTGTGTTTTTTTAGGTGCTTTCACTACAATTGCATAATGCTTAGACGAAAACTTAGCTAAACTTATGAAGATTGTTCCAATTGTTCATTTATCAAGTAAGTTTAATCTGTCTATATTTATGAACTGTGACCTCAGAAGGTCCGGTGTCTTGGGATGGCAAGGTAAACGACGGATTTGACATAAAATGAGTCGTATAAAGATGGCCAACTATAAACAATTGAGTGAATTTACAAATCTTGCTATATAAAATAGTCTTTCTTTAATCGCGAGTTAAAAAAGAATGAGTCGCGCACGATGAACGCAGGGTGTGAGGGCATCTCTGCCTAACATAGTGTACTTTTGCACAACAGTTTAATTTTGAAGAAAAACTTTTACTACAATGTACATATACAGATTCACAAAGTTTCCATTTATTTTCAAATACAGTCGGCACAGGTGCAACATCCCGTTTTGAATGTATGCTTTTCTTCTAAGCACGCAATTACGATATTCCTACTTTTCCAAGTGTTTATCGCGGTGGGTTACCCCGTTGAGTGCGCTTCTTACCGAGCACTGATGTACTGCAGAGAAGCAACACCGGCAGAGCTCGCTTTCGAGGGTTTTGCTTCTCCGCAGCGCACCAGTGCTTGGTAAGAAGCGCACTCAACAGGGCCAACCCGCCGCAGTCAACACTTCGAAAAACGCGAATATTGCAGTTCTTCTCGAAGCGAATATCAAATAGTGCATTATTCGAAACTTCTATTTGAAGTTTCGAATATTCGCACTGCCCTAATATCCGGGCTTCGGTCAAAAATTTGTGGAAGTTGCCCTCGGACTCTTCTGAAGTAAAAAACAGAAAACCGAGTTCGCCTGCGTGTCCTAATTGTTCTAAAAAAAAAAAAAAAAAAAAAAAAAAAAAAAAAAAGCTAAAGATTGGAAATTTTTGGCACCCCTAAACTCACTTCCAGCCTTCAGGGTCACACCTAGTCCCCTCCTAGTGACGTAATTCGGGGTGCCGTGTAGCTTCCCGTGTGCTCCCTCGGAGGACGCTTCCTCTTTTTCTCTTTGCTGACATTAGCGGGCGTTATGCTGCAGCTAGTGCCACTAAATAAGCTACGCCTCAGAGTAACGACACTTGGCCATATTGTGGCTTAAAATCATGGTTGCCAGTTATCTGAAGCTTTATCTGAAATCACAGGAAATGCTTTTCCGCCCTCCACAAATGTTTAAACCGTTCGCGACAGAGCAAAGCAATATTACATGACCTTCCTAACACCGAATCTAATGCTGAGGAAGTCGCACTTTTGAATCATGACGATCGGCAGTCGCGTCTGCTCTGCATACGAGCCAAAATGGCGGCGCCCACAACAATGTCGGGGAACGGAGTGCCGATACTCTAAGTGCAGCTTATTTAGTGGCTCTAGCTGCAGCTTAGAGCCGAGCGAGGTCGCGAAATCTTAGCCGTAGTTCCCTCGGCTGCCACTGGCGGCTGCAAGTGGGGGAAAAAGCTCGACTTTGCTTTGCGATAATGCAGCGAAATCGCGACATTTTTTTTTAATGAAGGAGATGCCTTCTCTATCCTGCGGGACACAACAAACAACGTAAAAATGACCAGATGCAAATTCTCTTAATCTTAAAATCGTTGCACCCCCTCCCCCCCTAATTGCAAAAAAAAAAAATAATAAAAAAAAAACACACGCAGAAATTACTGCACTGCGGATCAGAAGCCCATATCAGAGAACAGAAGCTTCCCCAACTTGGCATCGTTCGAAATAGAGCCACTAAATAAGCAACGCTTCAGAGTAACGACACTCTGAAGCTTTATCTGAAACCGCAGGAAACGCTTTTCGGTCCTCCGGAAATGTTAAAAAACAGTTCGCGACAGAGAAAAAACAATATCACCTCAGCTTCCTAAACCACCATATCTAAAGCTGAGGAAGTCACATTTTTGAATTGTGATGATGGACAGTAGCGTGTGCTCTGCACTAAGCACCAGGATGACTGCGCCCACTTGCAACATGGGGAACAGAGTGCCGTATTCTAAGCGTATACCTCATACAGTGGCTCTAGTCCGATCAGGTCAGGTCAGGTAACTTTATTGAGCCTTTATCGTACAAGGGGGTCGGACCCTTTAGGGTCCGAGTCTGGTACAATATTTAAACTTGGCCCGGGGGTAGGGCGATGAAGGAGGATCGTTAAGAATATATGAGCTGGCTGGGCTAGAGCCACTAAATGAGCTACGCTTAGAGTATCGGCACTCCGTTCCCCGACATTGTTGTGGGCGCCGCCATTTTGGCTCGTATGCAGAGCAGACGCAACTGCCGATCGTCATGATTCAAAAGTGCGACTTCCTCGGCATTCGGTTCGGTGTTAGAAAGGTTATGTAATACTGCTTTGCTCTGTCGCGAACGGTTTAAACATTTGCGGAAAAGCATTTCCTGTGATTTCAGATAAAGCTTCAGATAACTGGCAACCATGATTTTAAGACACAATATGGCCAAGTGACGTTACTCTGAAGCAGGGCCGTAACCAGGGGGGGGGGGGGGGGGGGATAGGGGGTTCTGACCCCCCCCCCCCCCCCCCCCGAAATTTTTTTCTGTGTACGGCCCTGGTCGGTGCACTGGCAGCCAGCCGATTTTATTCTCCACCTCTGCGCACGCGCAGTGGCGCCGGTCGGCTACCGGGTACCAAACCGGGACCGGATCTCCGGTTTGCTGTAACTCTCCATTATATGCCACCGATGCACATGATTCATAGGCGAAAATAAGACAATAGACACTTTCAAAATGGCCGCCGTTGTCCCCGAAAACCCCCTTCGAAATTTTTTTCTGGGTACGGCCCTGCTCTGAAGCGTAGCTTATTTAGTGGCACTAGGCTGGGCTAGTGTAGCAAACTGGGCAGCGGTGGCACTGCGTGACGCTGGCGAGAGCACGTGGTGAACGTGGTGCGTGCACAGAAGAGACAGAAGACGAGCCGTTTCATCGACGCCACGACCCAAACTAAAGCCCCTCTATGTGTTTGCGCTTGTCTTGCAAGTAGCGTCAAATGCGCGAGTGCACGAGGCCCTTGTCTCGAGCGGCCCTTGGAAGCAAATGGCGGCGCAGCACTGAAATGAGTGGGCCTTGGAAGCGAATGGCGGCGGAGCACCCGCTCATGGCACGTGTCTCGAGCGCTTCCACAACAGTGGTTGGCGGTACTTGTAAAAAACGCTTTTATCAAGGGGCTTTAACCCAAACGAATCGGTGTCGCCATCTAGAGTTAAAATATTAAGCTCCTTCAAGATGGCCGCCGTGGGACCGCCGCGAGCCAAGCTGCAACAAAGAGGATAGAAGGGTAGGAGAGGGCATGACGCCAGCCGCGTAGCCTCCACAAGCCATACTCCCTTGACGCCTCGTCTCTTTCTCATTTCCCTCCTCACTCTCCTCACTTATCAGGCCAACGTGACCACATCACGTGACCGTAGCTAGCCTTCCTCTTGCTATGGGGTACTCGAATAAACCACAGTCTAGCCTGCAAGGAATCCTTCTACAATCAACCATCCATCTCACACGTGACATGTCACGCGGACCAATTGCCAGAGAGATCTACGGTCGTGTTGGCCACAACATCGTTTAAACTTTTTATGACTAGGCTTCACCAATATTGCAACGTGCCCCCTCCTAGTACTTCTAACATTCTTGCCCTGCAAGGACGTTTTTACTGGTTTTTAATTTGCATCGAACCTCAGCGCACTGAACGTAGTAACTTAATGAAACTTTTCTTTTCTAAAATTTCGCTTTATTTTAAAAGTTATAGGCAAATTAAAATTACAAAAACAAGCAAAAAATAACCTTCCTCATGACGTCCTTGGTCGGTTGAGTGGCCGTAAACTAGAGTTGGGGTAGTGAGCTCAGCGAGCGCTCACGGCTGCCGCACTCCGTGTCGACGGCTCGAGAGGGCGCCACTAAAGCATGTTTTGGATAGGCTGTATGAAGCGGGCAGTCAGGGCGGCTCGCATTGTATTTGCTGCGCGATTGAACACTAATTCGGCATGACACTTTATTGGCCACAAACGACACCAAACACGGGGTAAAGATCATTCAGAACGGGAGCCACTTCGCTCTGCCATACTGCCAAACCTGCTCGTCGAAACAGCCAAAGGCCTTCGGAACGCTCGGAACCGGTCGGATCCTCGACCGCAGCGCCGCCGCGTACATCCGGGACCTTTCTACACTCGCCGCTCGTCGGTGCCTCATCCCACTGCCCCTTTCTAGTGTGCGCCGCCTTTTCCACCGCTTGTGGCGATTATGTCGACGGGTCATTTCTTATTTCCGTACTTTATAAACTGGATTTGGTCTTTTCTGATCTAAAATACTGAACAAAAACTACTTTCATAAATAATTGAAACGATTCGCGCAATTTAAATTTTGTATTTTGATAATAAAAAAAAAGAAAAAAAAAAAAGCTTTTAGAGGCTCTGACCAGTGGTAAGGCCAGGACCAAAGACGTCACATATCGCGCGCTTTCGGCACCGCGGGTCGCCCCCGTAGGCGGAGGAGGTTTCCGGACCGCGCCATCCGGTTAAATTATGACGCACTGATATTTAGTTATTCTCTCCGTGCCCGCTGGCTTGGCCGAACCCCAAAAAATGTGAAAAACGCAAAAAAAAAAAAAGAAAAAAAGGTAGACGCTTAAATAGGATTGCAGGGCCCCTTTAACTCCATCGGGGATCTTTCAAAGTCGCGCTGTTCAACTCATCGAGGATGTTGTAATAGAAACTAAAATATAGTATAAAAACAGCGTGAAATGGAGCTTGTATACGAAATCACATATCACAAGGATGCGTCCAACGCCAACTATTATAACTAATTTTTCGGACTTTTCATGTGCCAAGATGAAGTGATCAAACCACGTGGTTGTAGACAATGCGAAAATAACTCGAGCGGTTTCTAGCACGCTCGAAGAATATGTCGTTTTATTGGTGGACAAGGCGAGGCAAACTGAAAATATGGCTGACAATCACTCCAAGACTTGTAGCACTTTGGGTCCTCTTCTCCTCCTCCACTTCGCCAGCAGCTGAACAGGCAACATCGCTGCAAGAATGGAGGCAAAACAGACAAACAAAACAACGCGCAGCTCGGAGGACGAGGTGTGATCGGTGAACAAGACCAGAAGCGCTCCCGTGATTCGACCAGCGGACCTAGCGCACGCCTCCGCAACTGGAGAAACCGATGTCTTAGACCTCAACCTTCGAAGCGCTGTTCCTTGCAGACCCAGCGCGAAATGAAACGCTGTCAGCGCCATGATGGCGACCAACACAGAACGCTGATTGTACGTCGAGATGGCGCAGAAGAACATCCCCGTGGCAGCGACGATGGAGGAAAGAGTCAAAGCGTAGCGAAAGGTAGCCTTGAACATTTGGATGACCGCGAAGAAGGAACCACCGAGCAGATGACACTGGCAGTACAATGCGTAAAGGACACCCACATCGATGTTGGTACCGCTGGACAACGGACACCAGTTGATTTCAACGATGGTACTGCAGCACCACAGAGCGGCTTGGGAGGAAAGCACGGCGGTGGTAGCCCTCCAGTCACCGTCACGTGGTCCCTGAAGACATTTGATTGGTTGACTCGGTCCGCCGAGCCAATGGAAGCAGAAGGCAACGGTCAGCACGACAGCCGAGATACGGTACATGATGTAGCAGTTAAAGTACACCACGTCGCAGAGGAAGGTGCCGACCAAGCCAGATATTATTCCTATGCCCCCGATGACGGTAACGATGACGAATTCGGAAGGCATCATACGAGGATTGAACTGTCCCACCGCCAGTGGAAATATGGTGATGAGGCAAACCTTAGATAAGATCTTGCTGGTGATGAGAGGCTGGAGTTCCTCTGTGTTCTTTAGCAGGCATGACTCGACAAGGAAGGCCAGGAGGAGCGCGGCCGATATCTTCCAGCCGACCCGACGAGCCACAGAGCGACCGAAGACGTCGGCAAGGCTCGCGGCTACGGCACCTGCGGCGTAGATCTGGGCGATGCCGTGTCCGCTGACCTTGTTGTAGTAGTAGAGCTTGTACTCGTAAGGGTTCTGCATTCGGTCACCCAGCGTCAACAGGATGTAGAAGATGATCGGCTGCCAGAGGGACAGGACTTCCCGAAAATCTGCCATCGCCATGGCGGAGGAGGACATCTATAGCCTGGGTGTCGTAATCATATCAAGTTGTAATAAACAGTTACAAAAAAATAATCTTCAAAAAGCATTTGTGTGTGTGTGTGTGTGTGTGTTTGTGTGTGCGTGTGCGTGTTTGTGTGTGCGTGTGTACGTTGAGGAAGAAACGCTTCCCGGCACCAAGGACTGTTGCGGACTTATCCAGGCTTATTCGTCCCACACTACCCACACTAGCTGCGCGTGCGATGGAAGCAGATTCGCGCGATGCAAAGCATCTGCGCATGCGCAGTGCAGACAGCAGCGCCACCGCAATGGCGTGACGTCACAGAGTTGAGTTGCTCTATAATAACTCATTCACATGCACGACCAGCATATACTTTTTGAACGTAGGTCCCCTTCCAATCGGCGAACTAGCCCGCGCTCTTGAGTGGGCTCCGGGGTAAAGGAGAATAAAGACAGGCTTTTCTTCTCCACAGTGGGGTCTGGTGTGTAAAAGGCAAACGATTAATTGGTCTAACAAGCGCGTAGCTTTCACTTGTGGAGATGAAAAGCCTGTCTTTATTCTCCTTTGGTTCCAAGCCCATACATTTCACTGTCATCTTATGGCACGAATAGGGGACTATCACGTCAATTTCGTTGCGTGTGTTCTCGCACACCGGCGGCTGCTGGCTTGTGGGAAGAACGTGCGCCCCTTATTATGGACACCAAATTGGTTCAGTATTCCTTTAAGGAGACTTAGCTACAGGTGCCTTTACGATCGTGTGAATGCGGTGGTATAAGAGCTCGTTTGGGGAGTATATTGGTGGGGGTATGAGTGGGGGAAAGGGGAGTACGAGAGCGTGTTTTATACCAGGTGTTTCAGGCTTTCAAAAGTCTGTAAAAATAGGGTGGTTGAGAATAAAATATTCCGGGAACAACTGCCAGCCACGGCAGATGTCAAAGATTGGCAAAAAAAGAAAAAAAAAACATACTAATTACCCAAATAATTAACTAAAAGTTACTCCTTAACTTTTTAATTAGCTAGAATAAACATATGATTACCGTGAGAAACTGGTCAAGCATAATGGGAAACCACTAAATCAACTCATTTTAGAAAGATTTAAGGCAGGCACATCATTTTGCGGCTCTCCGAAAAGAATGCCTAAATTGGACGCGTCTCTAGATTTCGGTTTCTTATCGGAGCACATCTTTGCGACAGCGGTCCTGCTTCATGGTAGCCGAGGCTCTAAGCTACCGCGCCTCCCTCGTAGGTTGGAGGGAAGTGTGGCGCACGTGCGTTGCACGTCTCGGCCACCAGGGAGCAGGACCGCTTGCGCAAAGATGCGCTCAATTAGTTTACTTTCTGCAATACTTAACGTCCGCCGTGGCTGGCAGTTTGTTCCGGGAAAGAGTTTATTATTTTTTTTTACAGCTAATTTATTTGTATGTCCCGTGACGTCAGTTAAAGTAACATCAATTTTCCCGCTAAATTTAGCTGAAAAACTGAATTCGTATATAGGTCTCGTGACATCAATTTCCCCGCTAAATTTAGCGGGAAATGCATCGACGGACGGATGGACAAATTTGTCGAATTGGGGTAGCGTTAAAAAGCATTTCATGCTTTAAAAATGGCGCATTCTTCCTGAGTAGCGAAGTGGTGCCCTTTTTCTTTTGGAATTTGGGGCGGAACTGCTTCTGGGGAGATTATCTTGAAAATTTAGTTGAAACATACTACTGTTCTTACAAAGTTATCGACATTAAAACTGTGATCGCCTGCCGTTTCATTCACCTATCGTCGTCTGAGAAGCATTCGACCAGAGTCCACCAGCATTTTATGGAACACGCCCTAATACATTTTACCATCCATCCGTGCGTCTGTGCTCTTGTTCGCTAATACAATGACGTCAGGTGACGTCATGACACCACGTGACACAAATTGACATCGTGACGTCAGTTTTTAAGCTAAATTTAGCAGGGAAAATGACACGACAGAGTCTGACGCAGGGTGTAAGATAGACAGGTGGGGAAACGAGAGCCAAATGAGCGACCGGATTGTGTCCCCCTCGGGTTTCTCTTTTTCTGTGGCGCCATCTATGTGGAGCACCGCGAACTCTCACTCCGGGTGGGCGACCGGTGGCGACCGGCTAAACTGACGGAGATGGTTTCTCGTGGATTTGCAATGGAGGACTGTCGTGCTCTCGGTTTATTTTGCGCACTCTCCCATAGAGTTCCACGCAAATCCGATTCCGACTTTTTTTCTTCTCGCCGCAGCGCCATCTTTCGCAACTCGGGGGTACCCGCAAGCAGACGAGTACACAATCCGGTCACGGCGCTGCGGTAGGCTTCTATGAGCCGTTTCCCCACCTGTCTATCTTACACCCTGGTCTGACGTCACGTGAGCTGACGTCACACAACGCGGTCACGTAACGTTGGGTCGAGTCACACCCGTCAATTTTCCTCGCTAAATATAATGGGGATAGTTTTAAGCAATGTATTTCCATTCGCTCTCCGGAACGACCCTGTCCTCAAACAAGTGTAAACGATTGCTCCCTAAATACCACATTCCATCCCATGCCTTAGATAGCTTAGGAGACAAATGTTGCTTTCTAATAATATATATATATATATATATATATATATATATATATATATATATATATATATATATATATATTATTTAACAAATTCGTAAGGTCTGTGCAAAATGTGAGTAGCTCTCTTCGGTAAAATAAATAAGTGAAATTTTATCGTGCGCAGAAATACAGAAACATTACACGGTATTAAAAGGGGCATTGAAAGAAAAGAGGCGAAGAAATCATCTCTCCAGAACAGTAAAACAACAATAAAAAAGCTGGTTAATATCCTTCCGAATCCCAACGGCAAATCCAAAGCACTCCCCGACAACGTAAACAGCCTAACCCTAATTGTTATCTTAATGGAGAAATATGTTTAGGCTCAAAAAGCTAAAAAAAAAAAAAAATAAATGAAAATAAACAGCTCTAACCCCTTTAAATGGATTTCTAGCGGAATACGACCTCCTTTCCTTTGCAGACCTCGAAATGTCCAGCGCAACAAAACTGTTGCAGGTTTAGAATATTAAGCCCCTCCCATAAAGCTGTCTGCTCGCCACGATTGGCTCTTTCCTTCCCTAACAGACGTTCGCGTTTGCTAGGGTGGAAAGGGCGCGGGGGGCTTTGGGGAGCAGCTCGTCCGGCTATCGCGTACAGAACAATTAACTCGACGCAAACTCGAAAAAAAAAAAAAGAACAATAAAAAAAGAAACTTGATCCTCGTCGACCCGCCGGCTAGACGAATCTAAAAGAAAGTCAAAATACGCCATGTGCATCTGTAAGAAAAAAAGAAAAAAAAAAAGGAAAGATGATATTGAGGACGCTGCAGCCGTGACGTCACGCATATAAGACCCCATTTTTCCTTTTTTTTTTTTCGCAAACAACGCCGTACGGGTCAGGGTAAAATAACAACGGTCCGAAAGGCATAAAAATAACGCCGCAAGTGTCTTATATCCCCCCGAGGAACTCGAGGCAAGTAGACAAACATGTTTCCGTTTCTTTTTCTCCCTATTCTTAATCTGTTCCTCGCAATCTTTTTCCCTATTCTTTCCCCTTACTTTTCTCGTTGTTCTCTGCTTATTCGTGCTTTCTACATCTTTTGTTGTTCTCTGTTTTGCTCGCTTTTCCTATTTTTGTTTCCTATTTTGTTCTTGTTTTCCTTAGTTTTCTTGTTTCCTTGTCAAGCTTTCCCCATACCGGCGGACATTCAAGAGGGCTTTGAGGGGCCGGAAACGATATATGGGGTGGGAATGTTTCTCACTTCACACCGGCTTACTGGCACAAGTGGAAGACCCAAGGATCCTCGAACGCAACGCCACTGACCAGGAAGCGTCTCCGTCACGGTCGAATTCTAAGGATAAAAGCGGACCTTTATTTTCGGTCTATCCTTCGCGAAACTTGATGACGCAACTGAGGGGACAACGCCAACAATGCGATCCCCGGAACTGCGTCATCAAGCTTTGCGATCCCCGGTGTGACGATATTTGAATGCGGTTCGTACAGCGGATCACGAGCACTGCGTAGGCATTCGATTTTGGCTCGTGACAATCAATGCCTCCGTATGCATTCGGGTAGTGACTCGTGCCTAATCGCTGGGATGACCAATAAAGCCAACCATGTGCAAATAAAAAAAAAAGTTTAACTTGTTTAAATAAAAAAAAATATGTTGTAAAATAAATTTACTACGAAGAAAAAAATTGAGCTATGTTTACGGTGCGACACGAATTTGTAGTTGGCGCCCGCGGGAGCCCGCGGAAAAGTGGCAACTAGCAGTCACGTGACTGGCCACTATAGTCACGTGGTGCTTGCGCTCTTTCGGGACCCTCCTATGGGCTCTAACAGTTACTAGTTATTAATCTTCATTTTAAGTGCAACAAGAAAACGAAGATTAATAAGACACTTTTAGAGCCCATAAGCTCCCGAAAGAGCGGCAGCACCACGTGACTACAGTGGCCAGTCACGCGACCGCTAGTTGCCACATTTCGTTGTAAATTTCTTGTATGACATCTTTTTTTACATCTAGTGCTGTTATTATTTTTTTACCCTTTGCATTTGTCTTTTAAGAGTGCGTGGAACTCGGCACACGCTAGCTGTGCTCTCGAATCTCTCGAATTTTTTTCTGCGATTGCGTGAATTAAAACGACAAGGTGTGTTTCACAGGTTACAAATTTCAAGGAATAATTCTCAGCTGTATTCATTGAAAGTACAAAAATTGTTGCGTTGCCCCTTTAAATGTCAAAAATAATTTCCTGATTTTAACTAAATCTGCGAGCTGTCTCTAATTATTCGATCTTAAATCTAAAGGTCAACTAAAAAGTTCATAAAAATTAAAATTAAAAAGTGTTCTAAAAACATATCAGTTTGTCTCCGATATTTCGCTGTAAAAATATTGTTCTCCCTGTAACAGTCAGTCCGTTCCTCTAAAACTAATTATATATTAACACAAATATTTGTATACGCAGGTAATGTACGAGGAGAATCAGCGGTGCATGAATGGAACAAA